TTTATTATTCAAAATTTGTCTAGAACACTTCCAATGTTGGGTTACTGAAGATTAAGTGGTGACTTCAGAAACTTTTCTTTTTCTTTCCCCCTTTGGCCAAAAAAAAAAAAGTCATCATAATGATAATTCATGACCTGACTGCATACCTCTACATTACTCATCAGAAATAAATCTAATGCTCAACCAATTTGGAAGCATCACTTTAGTAAGCACATTACCAAGTAGTAAGTATATTTTAATAAATGACTAGAATTCCATCCTAACAATGAAGAAATACCGAAGCTGAAATTGACATTAAGATGAAGGCTCTTCCTTTTGTTATCTGTAATTTAAAACCTTAGTACTTTTTAATGAATTATTATAACAGAACATAAAACTTACAATGACATTTTCAAGTTCTACCTTGTGAGTATCAAAAAATAATTGTCGAGTAAATCAACAGGGAGCTTTAAAAGAAGGCATTTCAGGAAGAAGAATGTCAATTTTAGATAAATACAGACTATCTATACGTGAGGAAAATAGTTTAGCTTTGAAAATGAGCTAAAAACTATTATTTGCTACTATTAAAAACATTAAGGAGCTCTGGTGGTGTAGTGCCTAAGGCATCTGACTGCTAACCAGAAGACTGGAAGTTCCTACCCACCAGCTGCTCTGCGGAAGGAAGTTTGGGCAATCTACTTCCCTAGTGATATTGCCTCGGAAACCCAATGGGGGTCGCTGTGAATCAGAATTGACTCAATGGCAGTGAGTTTGGTTCAATTTTTTGGTATTAAAAATATTATAGTCATGAAAACATCAATTATGTTAGTAGGAATAATTCAAGAAGATTCATTTTGTTTCCTACTTAATTTTTTTTTTTTTACTCATAGGCGAGAAATGTGTATTACTGTAGGAATAAAAGTTAAAGGCCTTAAAAGAAAAAGATGCAAGATTAATGCCAAGAAGGAGTGCCATTTCCTTAGCCAGCACTGAAATCAGGGACTGGGCAGCAGGCACCACACATACCTGTGAGAACCACAGTGTGCTCTCCACCACAAGCTACTTGGATCACCTTCTCAGAAATCCCAATTACCAGCTGCGGTGTTCTGTGATTGATCAGCTGCTTACTGGTAAGACCCAACTTTCCAAACTCAGGTTCTCCAAATGTGTACAATTGACCATC